GCATGAAGGCCTGGGTTCGATTCCTCAGTATCACATAAACAGAAAAGGCTGGAAGTGGTGCTGTGGCTCAAGTGATAGGGTGCTAGCCTTGAGCAAAAGAGGTTCAGGGACAGTGCCTAGGCCCTGAGTTCAAGCCCCAGGACTGGGAAAAAGAAAGAAGGAAGGAAGGAAGGAAAGAAAGGGGGAGAGAGGGAGGGAGGGAGGAAGAAAGAGGGGGGAGGAAGGGAGTGGGGGGGAAGAAGAAGAAGAAGGAGAGAGAGAGAGAGAGAGGAAAGGGAAATGGGTGGGGTCACAGGGCTGGCCCCTGGGAAGCCTAGGATGGGAGAGGAGAGCAGGAGTGGTCAGCATAGAAGTTCTTAGGAGAGTGTGTTGGGAATATCAATTCCCCACAGCCTCATTCCCCACAAAGTGTGATTTTCAAAGTAGATATTCTGCTTCAGTGGGTCTGGTTGGGGCCCTGCTACTGTGCTCATCTACGGAATGATCCTCGTAGACTCTTCCCAGATAACAATCCCAGGACCCTCCTGTGCCTCTGCAAGTTCCTTGATTTTGTTGTTGTTCTTGTGCCGGTACTGGGGCTTGAACTCAAGGTCTCATTGCTCTCACTTAGCTTTTTCTGCTCAAGGCTGGTGCTCTACCACTTGAACCACAACTTCTCTTCTGGCTTTTGGATGGTTAGTTGGAGAAAAGAATCTCTGAGATGGGTCTGCTCAGGCTGGTTTTGAACTGGGATTCTCAGCTCTCTGAGTAGCTAGAATTATAGGTGTGAGCCGCTGGCAGCCAGTGAATGAGGAGGCATCCAATCCCCAGCGTCAAAGACTACAACTAATAATAAGACACCGTGTCCCTTTACCTGTGGGGAGAAGATGCCTGCCTGCCACCTGTGAAAGCCTGCCCACCTTGAGGGCACCCCAAGGTGGTCTCTCTTTTCTGTTCTCGGGGTGACATTCCTGTCTGTCACAGGGCACAGAGCCCACCCCCACTCGGAGGACTGGAAACACATGTCGGGTGGCCCCTCCAGCGTCTGGCCTGCCTTCCTGCTCTTTTCCAGGTAACAGGAGGGCCACTGAGGGTGCCTCTGGGTGCAGCTTGATTTAGAAGCATAGAGTACCAAAGAATCCATGCTTGGCACCGGGCCTGCCAGCTGTGGGCCTGAGGTAAGGGTAGGGAGAGATGGGAGACATCACAGGCTGAGCAGAGCCGCCCGGCCCAGCCTTGCCCTCCTCAGTTCTCAAGTAGCCTGATTGATAGTCACCATGTTGAGGACCACAGTGAGAGCACAGCGTTCACAGGGGGCCGGGCCGCAGCAGGCGCTGTGGGACAGACTCAAATGAAGTGGACACACAGGAAGGAAGACGGAGACCCCGTACCTGGTCCTCTCTTCTTGGGAGACCTAGGAATGGCATTACCCACCCTGCTGACTGCTCCCTCACACACAGAGGACCCTAAGATCTCCCTGTGTGGAAGGAAACAGAGGAGACACCGAGACCTGGGGCCAGGCTGACCAGAACAAGGCTCTGACTCATTCGTTCTCTGGTCCTGCTGAAGAGCAAGAAGACTTGCTGAGGGTCTGAGTGTGGCAGAGGTTACAGTGAGAAATGGGGTGTCTGGAGGCCACTTTTAAAAACCCTCAACCAGCTCCAGAAGGCGGTCTGGAAGCCCGGATGGTTTTCATTCCCCACCCTCATCTGCAAGACCCCATTCCCCACACTTAGCTGACCTGGCCCAGGTCTCAGCTCCCACCCAGCAGCCATCACGAAATGTTCTAGCTTGTTGCTTTCTGTTCATCCAACAGATGAACTTTAGCTAATCTTTTAACTAAAGCTTGTTATTCTTAAAAAACAAACAAACAAACCTACGAAACAAACAACAGTACCTTGATTGGTAGGTCACTAACTCAAGCCATAAGAAGAAATCCCAACAATCCAGTATGATAGGAAGCCCTTTTTCCCCTTCTTTCCTCCCACTGTCTCCTCCTTCCCTTCCTCCCTCCTCCCTTTTTTTGGTGGCCCTGGGATTTGAACTCTGTGTTTCTAGGTTGCTAGGCAAACTCTCTACCACTTGATTCATGCTTCCAGTTCTGTTGTTTTCAGTTTGTTTTTGAGATGAAGTCTTGCAATAATTTGTCTGAGATCAGCCTCGGGCTTTGATTACAGGTATGAACACCACATCCTATGCAAGAAAACCTTCTTGGGTTTTACTTGGATCCAGCCTGGGGCAGTGTGGCATGGGCACCCTCTTTTTAGAGACAAGGATATCTTGGGGTTCAGAAGCAGCTTGGGCAGGGCCTCGTTCTTCACTCCCATGCACCCTCCTCCCTGCTCCTCCTGCCAAGTATGGACTATGTCCAACATAACTTTTTCATCTGGTACAGACAGTTCTAAACAGTACTAAAACAACACTGTGGGCCCATAGTGTGTGGTGCTGGTGTCTATTTTTTTTGCATAGATGTAGCCAGGCCTCTGAGGAGGCAGTTTAATAAAAGGACATGAATGGGACAGGAAAAAGAGCAAGGGGCGCAAGTCTGTCACGTTGTACTGCCCAAGTTTTGGTTGTAAGTGAAAGAAAATGCAATTGTTTGTTTAATGTAACATGAAAGGTACTAGCTTTGGAACTGGTTTCTGGAAGGCTTGATCTGAACCATGTCACCAAGACCTCTTCTTGTCCTTTTGGTCAGCTCTTCTTTCCGATATAGCTCTGCTGCAGGCTGATTTCACCCCTCTTGGCTCAAGATAACTGCAGAAGCTCCAGGCATTGCACCCTTTCACTAGGACAGAGGACCAGTTCATTTCTCTGATAGCTGAAAGTGCAGGAAGTGAGTTTCATTGGTTCTGATGGGCCCAACTTTGTTTATATAGCCAGTATTTACCCGATGACTGCCGGTCATTCCCAGCTACAAGTGCTTATATGGAGCTTGTCAATGGTGGCAGCCCTGCTGAAATCTAGGAAACTGAGTTGAGCTGTGATTGCTATGAGTGAACAGACAGGCTGACAAGAAGCACAGGTTCCTTACTCTTTTTAGAAAGAGGGGTGCTGGGAAATCTCCAAGGGCTTCTTTGAAGCCTTCAGTTCTAAATTGGAACCCAAGTCAAAGGGATGAGAAGCACAAAACTAGATGGGTCTGGGGAGGGCCACGGATGGGCCTCCCTGGCCAGTACCAGGAGCCAAGCCTCAGATGTGTGTGTGGAGGGTCAGGTCTCCTCCCCAGGAGGAAGAGCGAAGAAGTATCAGCAGACCAGCCATGAGCTCCTGCGACAAGGGACTTCAGAATGGCTGGGCAGACCTCGGGGGTGAGCCAGCCGAGGTGTCCTTCCAGCAAGGAGAGGGGCATTGCTATGTCCTATAGGTTTGCAGAACTTTGGACTTGGAGCTCAGCTTGTGAGGCAGGTACTTCATCTCCTGAGCCATGACTCCAGCCCTTTTATTTTTTTTGGTAGGGTCTAATATTTATGTCCCATAGCCTGCACTCCAGCCCTCCTATTTATGCTTCCCGTCTAGCAGAGATGATAGGTATATACTACCAAGCTCAGATGTTTATTGGTTGGGATCTTGTGACTCTGAACTGGTCTTGAGCTGGGATGTTCTTTATCTCTATCTTCACAGTAGCTGGGATTACAGGCATGAACCACTGTGCTTGTCATTATTTGGAATTCTTGACTGTAGGACCCTGTAAGGCGTTTATAACTGGAGCTGCTCAGTAGGCAGTTAGAGGTTAGATACCAGGCTCCAGAGAGAAACACAAGTCTGTGCTAGAGTTTTCACATTTCATCTTAATTTTTTTATTAATCTTTTTTTTTTTTTTTTGCAGGTCATGGGGCTTGAACTCTGGGCCTGAGTGCTGTTCCTCAGCTCTTCAGCACAAGGCTAGCACTCTACCACTTGAGCTACAGTGCCACTTCCAGTTTTCTGGTGGTTTATTGGAGATAAGAGTTTCACAGCCTTTCCTGCCTGGGCTGGCTTTGAACCACGATCCTCAGATCTCAGCCTCCTGAGTAGCTAGGATTACAGGCATGAGCCACCGGTGCCTGGCTTACTAATCCATTTTTTTAAAGAATTTTGTTGGTGGTTGGGGGTCACATCTTTTTTCAGTGGCCCACAAGTAGAGATGGAGTTGTGGCTGGAGCAACTCCTTTGTCTACGTCCTTCTGCTTCACCGAGCTGCAGACCCTCCTCCAGGAGCCCAGAGCTCCTTCTTATCAGCCTCCTCTATTAGCAGACACTGCTAAGCGTGCACCTGCATCACCTCCTTTGGACCTCGTGACCCACTGAGGTAGCTGGGGCTCTGCAGGGGATACCAGGGAGGCTCCAGGAAGTCAATTCCCAGGCCTCCAACCATCTGTTGGCCTTCTCAGCATGTGCATTTAAAGCCTATGTGCTAGAACCACACTGTCCAATAGAATTTTCCATGGCGATAGAAATGTTCCATCCGTGACATCCTGTATAGTCACCTCTAGCCACATGTGCAGCAGGGGATCTGAGTTGTTCTTGTTTTTTTTTTTTTTCTTTTTTTGCCAGTTGTAGGGCTTGAGCTCAGGGTCTGGGTGCTGTCCCAGAGCTATTTTACTCAAGGATAGCACTCTACCACTTTGAACCTCAGCTCCACTTCCAGTTTTCTGGACTTGAAAATAAGAGTCTCATGGACTTGAAAATGAGTCTCATGGACTTTCCTTCCCCAGCTTGGCTTTGAGCCACGATCCTTAGATCTCAGCTTCCTGAGTAGGTAGGATTACAGGTGTGAGCCACCAGTGCCTGGCTAGGAGCTGAGATTTTAAACGTCTGCCATTTACATTAATTTCAATTCAATAGCCATATGTAGCTGTTAGGCTATAGCAACCCTATCAGACAAGCTCAATTTATTTCTTCCAGAAATGCCCAGGAAAGAGGGAGAGTTTCCCCTTGGACCTTGTTGTAGCGTCTTCTCATTCAATTGGTAATATTATATTCCACTCGAGTTCTTCCCACAGGCTCTTCAGTGCCTCAAAAAAAAAGGCATCCTAACCTTCAAGGGTTAACTTAGCTATTTCCTGCCGGCTGCCCACAGCGTTCAGATACCAGATGGGCAAGTTGAATGGCATAGGAGGCGTGAAGGCCCCTGGCAGCTTCCAAGACAAGAAAAGGAAATGCCCTTTGGTGGCATCCGGGAATCTCAGCCTCCAGGCTGGGACTGTTGCCTGGGAGACAAGGAGCACCGAAGACCTGGCCGGGGGGAGACCACTCTTGGAGGACAGTGGCCAGGAGTGAAAGGAGAGGTGAGGAGAGGACCGATGCCGGCCGGATTGGGCACAGCGTGGGAGAGGAGATGCTGAAGGGGCCAGGAGGGGCCTGTGCAGACGGGAAGGCTGAGGGGGAGGGGGAGAGGGGTCGCAGAGGGGGAGGGAAGAGGGGTCGCAGAGGCTGGTGGGCTGGTGGGGGGAGCTGCACATACACCATAGCAGGGACACAGAGAGGCTTCTACACCAGCAGAGCCTGTGACTTCAGAGCAATTTAGAAGGAAAACTCTTTGCTTGTTAACCCACTGCTTTTTACCTCCCGCCTGTCAGCATCAGTTGAGTCTAAATGAGTCACGTGAGGTCGGCAGGTGGCTTGTTCCCCTGTAACCTCGCCAGTGCCCCCTCCTGCTGCCCCCTCCGCGGCTGCCCTGATGACTTAGTTAGCCATCTTCCCCAGCAGGACCATTTTCTAATTACTTCTAACAGGGCTCACCAAGTGTGTTTCCCACTGAATTTCATTTCCGGGCTTGTTGAATGCCAAATTAATTTTTAATCGCCCTGGAGGTGTTGAGTTTAATTACCCAGATTGAAAGTGACAAGGAGAACAGGATGTAGAGGGAAATGTTTGAGGGTGCTTCTGGAGAATGGGGAACAGTATATTCCCAGGATGCTCTGGGCAGGGGGAGGGGGATGGGAGCGTGTCTGCTACAGCATCTGTGTATTTAGTCACAGTACACCCAGCTCTGCTGCGGACAAGGTGGGTGAGAGGGGAGAAGCTGGGCGAGAGGAGAAGCTGGGCCAGAGGAGAAGCTGGAGGTGCAGGAGCTTGGGAGGACAGAATCTCACTCAAGCATAACAATGGGAGGAGAAATAACACAAGCTATTTGTCCTCAAGACTTCAGTGGTTGAATAAGGCCTGATTACCAACTCACATTCCAGTTTTTGTTTGTCTCTTGTTTGTTGAGTGGTACTAGGACTTGAACCTCGGGCCTGGGTGGTGCTGTCCCTGAGCTTTTTTTTGCTCAGGGCCAGCACTGTACTCTACAACTTGAGCTAAAATGATTTTTAGTGACTTTTTAAAAATGATTGAAGAAAATATAAATAGTGACACATGAACATTATATGAAATTCACATATGTATTTATAGTTTTTCCCCAGAGTCCCCAACAGAACATACGTATAGTTTTATTGAAGCACAGTCACAGACAGTTACATATTATATGTGGTGGTTGTCATGTTACAAAGGCAGAGCTGAGTAGTTAGAGACTATTTGGCCAACAAACTCTAAAATATTTACTATCTCTTTCCAGAAAAGTTTGCTGACCCTTGACCTGAACCAATGATGAGAATCCTTCTCCCTTTTTTTCCCAGCCTTCCTTGCAGCTAGGAGCCAGTTCTGTCCAAAGAGAACTAAGCAGAGGGCTGCAGGGGAGATTTGTGGAGCTTTTCTAAAGGAAGGGGTCGGGATCTAGCTGGGCCCTCTCCTTCTTCCCACTTCCTGTCTCAAGTGTGAGCTTGTCTCTGAAGCCCAATCTGTCCGCTTCTTTCAGAGCTTGTCTTGTGGAGAAATGGGAAACAGAGGGTTACAAGTTCAATTGGAAGGCATGAGCACGCTGGCATACCCTGGCACCTGGCTGGAGGTCAGGCTGCTTCTAGCCTCAACTGGGTTAGAAGGAGGAAGGCTCAGGACCTTGCCAGAACTTTTCTGGTACTTCTGTCTGCTGGCTACACAGAGACATCAAGGACTGGGAGTTGGAGAGAAGCCTCTTCACTGTTGAGTCCCGGGGAGATCATTTGCCTACTGTCTGAGTTCCTTTGTAGCTCCAGCTCCTTCTGTAGTTTCCCCAAAGGGAGTAAATAATTCAAGCAATGGTAGTGGAATGGGAAGGAAAAAGAATGAGTAAATAAATGACTGACAAATGAATCAATAAATGAATGCGCAAATAGGAAAATATGGTTATTAAGAGGATTATTTTTACCAACAGGACCTGATGGCAACCCCCGGAGAGCTCTGCTAAGCATGGCTGTGCCCATTTTACAGAGGAAGAAACTGAGACTCTGTAAGGCTAATTGACTCAGTAAAGGTCATGAGACTTAGAAGATGCAAAGCTGAGAGCCAAATCCCAAGGCCCAGTTCCCTTCCTGTCTCCCCGCACCCCTCCACATCACCTCCAGCCCTGCTCGGTGCAATACATACATAGACACGCGGGCAAAGCATCTGCCATCACCTCAGGAAGCATGAAAGGAACTTTCGTGTCGCTGGGCAGCTGCCAGGGACCGCCTCTCAGCCTCATTCCCCAGTGCCAAGAGCGCGTCACCTCCTTAGCCAGCGCTCAGCACATACTTGTAGAATGAATGAGTCGGCTTGTATGAGCGCAAATTCCTTAATCAAAAGTCATGGGCTGCAAAATCCCAGGAAAGCAGGTAAAATTGACGTCATGTTTCCTGCCTTGCAGTCGACTGGAATGTGCAGGCTGGTGACCGGACAGGCCTTCTGCAACGCTATCCAAGCCCAGGAAATGCATCACAGCCGCCATCAAAGACAAGTTAGCACCTGACGTAAATTTGAACTTCACAGTCCAAAGCGGATGTGATGGCCTTCTTCCCTTGATGGCCTCCTCTCCATGCAATGAGAGGCGGGGGGCAGAGAAGATTGGGGTGAAGGTGGGGGAAGCTACAGAACTGGCTTAGGGGACACACGCTCCCTCAGGAATTTCTAGAGGATGTTGGAGTCAAGATCAGACAGGAAGAGAGGAGCCAGATAACCCAGGCAGAAGTGGGCGGGGCTGTGGGGCCCCCCTCCCTGGAGGTATTATTTCAGTCCCAGCATGACCACTCAGCTGACACAACTGTGAGTGTGTTGGGGGAGGAGCAGGGGGCAGAGGCAGCGCATTGGGAAGGGAGGGGCAGCGCTGGTATGACTGTAATTCCCAGGGCGATGCAGGTGATTCAGGGCCCCACTTGGCCTACCCAGTGGGGCTCTACCAGGGCTCCACTTGTAGGAAAACAAGTCAGAAAAAGCCAGGGGCCAGTGCTGGAGACTCTTATCTCCAATAAACTACGCAGAAAAAGCCAGAAGTGGCAGTGTGGCTCACGTGGTAGAAGGTTAACACAAAAAGGCTCAGAGACGGTGCCCAGGCCCTGAGTTCACGCCCCAGGACCAGCAACAAAACAAAACAAAGCAAAACACCCACCAGTGAGAAAAATGTCATCTAAGCAAGAGGGCAGTTGGTAGGAAGGGGTCCCAGAGGTGACCCCAGCCTCCCGCCCACAGCCCAAGCCTAAGGCAGGATCCCAGCCTTTGCCTGAAGGGAAGCTGATGGGAAAATCTCCACTGGCACCTTCTGACTTTTTTTTTATTTTTGGCATGTTCCAGAAACCTATTACCTTGAGCTGTCTCTGATGAATAGCCCCTTTAGCCTGGGCTGGGGGTCCTGCTCCCCAGAAGTATGTCTGAGAACTTCTGAGAGTTGTTATGTAGGTAAATCAGCCTACACAGCATTAATCAACACTTACTCTAAGTCTGGCAAGGCCAGGGAAGGTTTGTTGCTTGACTGGCTGACGGACGGACGGAAGGACTGACTAGGCCTGGAATTCCTAGGTTAGAGGAACTAACAGGAGGCACAACTCAGCACACCTGGAACTTAGAAAACCCACTCACAGCAAATACACAGCTGATAGAACAATTACATGCGCAGTGGTCAGACTGATGAGGTCCCCGAGGACTCGGAGATGACAGAGTACCACAGACTGAGGGGCTTAAATAACAGAAATACATTGTGCCGTGCTGGAGGCTGAAGCCTGCAGTCCCGGGGGTGGCAGGGTTGGTTCTGTCAGGGGCCAGGAGGGAGGTGGTTCGCTGCTGCTCTGTTCAGTTCTACGCTTCTTTTCTGCCTTCTGGTGTGTACTAGCAATCCTTTGAAATGTTTGGCTTCTGCTAAAAAAAAAGCTGCTAAGGTATGTCTTATCACTTTACTCTTTCTGCTTTCATCTTCATCCAGTGTTTATACACATACACTGGGTGTGTGTGTGTGCGTGTGCGTGTGTGTGTGTGTGTGTGTGTGCGTTCATCATCCACCTCCCTCTTTCCCTCTCTCTTGTGCCAGTCCAGGGACTTGAACTCAGGGCCTGGGTACTATTCCTGAGATTTTTTTTTTTTCCCTCAAGGCTTGTGCTCTACCATGAGTCACAGCTCTACTTCCAGCTTTTCTGGGGGCTAATTGGAGATAAGAGTGTCATGAACTTTCCTGCTTGGGCTGCCTTGAACTTCGATCCTCAGATCTCAGCCTCCTGGGTGGCTAGGATTACAGGTGTGAGCCACATTTCTTCATCTGCACCCCAGCATATTGGATTAGGGACCCACTCTACTTGTCTCAATGACTCATGTCTGTCATGACCCTCTTTTCACATAAGGCTGTGTTGGGGGAGCCATGGTTACGATATCAGCATATGGATAATTCAACCCATAACCTATAAGACTACCTCCACCGTTCAAGAGTCCCTGGCATTCTATTGGTGTTCATAGATCGCCACAGAGTCCTCTTGACAATTACTGCAGATGTCCAGTGTAGGACCCGGGGCACCACATTTCTTACAGCCCAAGTGTGACTGACCCCACCCCTGGGTGGCAGAGCCTCTGTTGATGATAACCACGTAGAGACCAGGAAGCAACAAACTGATAAGAGCCTGGAAGTTAAAAATAATCTGGGCAGTGGGCGTGGGTGGAATGTGTCTCGGTGACCTTTGCCCATCGCAACCTTGATTTTTCCAACTGCACGGCCGGATCTGAGCCAGCCATGAAGGTGTCACTAGCGCACGTGGCTCTCCTCTTGGCAGCTTGGGAATTTCCAATCCTGGAAAAACTGTAGCCGTAATATGGAAATCTATTTCTCTTTCTTTATGCCCTGGCAGCCCTTCAACACCTTTCAAAGAGTGGGAGAGGTTTCTGGTGAATAACTCTTTTCTGTTGATGTAAGAACGGCTTGCTGGAGGACCCACACCAATGCAACCCCTTGCCATACACGTGACCTGGGAAAGCACAAGATTTGTTTAAGTCTCTTTTCTGCAGGATAGGAATGATGAAGCAGGCTTTCCTTGCCTGCCATAACCTGACGAAGGACGTCTAAAGGAGTATCTGGTGGCAGGGCAGTGGTGGCTCACATCTGTAATCCTAGCTACTCAGGAAGCTGAGATCTGAGGGACGAGGTTTGAAGGCAGCCCCAGGCAGCAAAGGACAGGGTCGGTCAAGCCTGTCTTTGTGTCTACAGACCCCCAGGCATGCGCATTGTGCACGTGTGTGTGTGTGTGTGTGTGTGTGTGAGAGAGAGAGAGAGAGAGAGAGAGAGAGAGAGGATGGAGGTGTGAGAGGGGGATTTCTGAAGCCTCTGGGAGTTCTTTCATTGTTTTCCTTTCAACTGTTCCTACCAGCTGCAGGGGCTGTTCCTGGGAAATCTTGTTGTCTAGGTGAGTCTGCCTGTGGTGGTAACTACGGGGCACGTGGACAGAGGTTATATAATGGGCAGGTGAGGTCACCCGTGTGTGGGTGTGCCTGCAGTCATCTGAGATTCAGTGTCCGGAACCAGCCCTCTGAGCAGATGTGTACCGCAAATCCCTCCAGTTGGACGGCGCTGGGTCTCTCGCTCATGCGCTGCAGGCTGGAGCTCTTGTTCCCAAGACACAAATTATGCCGTTTTTTCCTGGCTTGTCCTGGGTAGCACCCTTCTCTGGGAGAGTTTAATAAACTCTTCGGTACCTGCCAGTCGGTCTCCATGTGAGGGAAAGGCAAGTGGGCGCCAGCTGCCTGGTAGCCGCCATGCCCCCTGGGTTTGCACTCGCCCCGTTTTCTCTGAGATAAAATTGCTGGTGACACTTTGCATCCTGGGCTCCCGGAGAGCCTGCATTCAGCGCAGATGTGTCTTCATACCAAGGCCCACGCCTTAGAGCCCCTGACATGCTCACCATTGTTGTCATAAAGCTGGGGAAGAGTAGAATAATAGAGCCATGTGGCTCCTTTGTGAGAGGAAGAAGAAAGCTTCTGGAGCCTTTGTGTGAGGCACAGAGGAAGTGAGGCCCCAAAGAGGCCAGAGGAGGCCGGAGGAAAGGGTGAGGGGGGGGGCTTCCTGTCAGAGACAGGTGACAGGGCTCAGGATGAGGCTGTAACAAAGGGCTGCGGCTGGGATGTACACTGAACCTAGGGGAGTATTCTACCCAGGAGCTGTGACCCTTAGAGGGCAGGAGAGGGGGTTCCCACCCCCACCTGCGCCTGGCCTCCCGCTGTGTGGGATTGGCTGAGGAGGCCCCAAGGATGAGTGACTGAGGAAGCAGCCTAAGAATTCACTAGGCTGGAACTCTACATCCTACACATTTCCTTTTCTTTTTTTGTTTTTATTCTTTTGCACATGCTGATACTGAGGCTTGAACTCAGGGCCTGGGGGCTATACCTTAGGGTTTCTTTTTGCTCAAGGTTAACACTCTACCACTCGAGCCACAGCTCCACTTGCAACTCTTTGCTGGCAAATTGGAGAATCTCAGGTACTTTACTGCCTAGACTGGCTTCCAACCTTGATTCTCATAGCTCCTGAAATAGCTAAGATTACAGGCATGAGCCATTAGCATCTAGTCTAGCCACACTTCTTAAAACACAAACAGCCCCGCATATGGACAAGGCCGCCTTCCTATCACTGTGCCCGGTTACTGGGCAAAATGTGGCCAAATGGCTTTCTCCTTTTTCAGTTCCGTTGAGGGAAACTGAAGAAATAAATTTCCCCTCAATACACTCCAACTAGCTTTCCAGTGGTCCATAAAAATCATAACAACATTTATGGAGTACTTGCTTGTGTGCCAAGTGCTATTAAATAGATCTTAAAGAAAGACACTAGTGGTATCTCCATTGCTTAGAAGAGAAGGCAGAAAACTCTGCCAAACTCACAGAGACTGAAAAAAATCCAACCAGACTGGTGGTACCCAAGAGATCTACTGACAGAGGCCTGGCCTGGCTGCTGGCTTCTGGGGAAAGTGTTTTGGGAGGTGAGCGTCCCAGGGCCTGAGGGACCTTATCCCTTGGAAGCTGGGTCACAGGGTGAGTGCAGGGTGAGCCTACTGAGCTCTTTGAGACAGACAGGCAGGATTCCGGGAAAGCCAAATCCAGGAGAGACAGTCATGGAAGGAGAGCGCACAGGCCCAGGTTGGCCTGCAGAGGTAAGTCAGAAAACCAAAGGTCTGTGGAGACTAAGTGAAGGGCCCTGGAGCAACAGTCAGCCACAGTGCTAACCCAGGCCTCTCTTCCTAGGGTTCACTGCCGGTTTCCAAGGGTCTCCGGACTCTGTAGGCAAGCCTGTACTCTGACCAACTGCAGGACCTGGACTAGACTGGGGTTCACTCTGCAAATGAGAACACTCACCTCTGAGAGCTCCCAGACCTGCCCCTAGGAAGAGCTGGAGGGCTGTGGAGTCAGGGTGCAGAAATAAACAACACCTGAGCTCCTCTGCCACGTGTCTCTTCCAAAAACTTGCTTACTAGAAACCGTTTAAAGGAGCCAGGTATGGTGTCTCACACCTGTAATCCCAGCACCAGGGAGGTTGGAGCAAGAGGATCATGAGTTCAGGGCAGCGTGAACTCACAACTCATACTGCTCCGCCTGTCTCATAGGAAGACACTTAAAAACCTGAATAAATAAAAAAATAAACTAGTACTAACCACAGGGAGCGAGCCACATTGTTGCAAGCCTTTTAGACTATTTACATTTTAATTTTCTTTTCCTAAGGGCAAGGTGAAGGCCTAAAATAAGGCTGGACTTGAGTTGACTTTTTTTCTTTTTTTTTTCCAGTCCTTGCTCTTGAAATCTGGGCCTAGACTTTGGCCCAGAGCTCGGGGCTACTGTTCTACCACTTGAGCCACAGCGCCACTTCCAGCCTTTTCTGAGTAGTTTATTGGAGATAAGAGTTTTACAGACTTTCCTGCTGGGCTGGCTTTGAACTGCAGTCCTCAGCTCTCAGCCTCCTGAGTAGCCAGGATTACAGACCTGAGCCACTGATAGCTGTCTGGCTTTACTTTTTGGAGACAGTTTTGCTATGTAG